CGTCGTCCTGCTGGCCGCCCTCTTCTTGATGCACCCCAGGATCCCATTGGCTTTCTTGGCAGCCAGGGCACACTGCTGAATATTTTTATTGTTATGTATGCGTACAACCCGCATGCTCCGATACTCTGACTGCCTGAAGTTTCATTTTCCCTTTGGCCGAGGAGCCTGCGTGCGGTCGGTGAAAGCCGTGACCGCAAGCCTGCAGCTCTTGAAAATAAGCACCGGTGCTCTTGAAATCAGAGATGGCTCCTGCCAGTGATCTCGTGCCGGTTTGCGTGCGAGGGAGCAGCGTCCCACAGCTGAAAAAAAAGTGGAAGTGAACACCTCCTGGGCAGACGAGGTCAGTAAATCAAGCCCGAGGTGGGGAATCCTGGTTTTGTATTTATCACTAGCACAGGGAAAATATTCAGAGGAGACCTCATCCTGCCGGTGCGCTTCTACCCTGCCCATGGGGAAACAGAGGAATGGAGGGTTGGACTAGATGACCCACAGAGGTCCCTTCCAACCCCTGCCATTCTGTGATTCTGTGAATGGGAAAACGGGGCAGGCCCCGCTCGCTCCCAGCTCTGAGGCCGTGCGTGTTTAATAGCTCACATTTATAAAGCGCTTTGCAAATGAACATTAAAATGAAGAGCCATACCTCACTACCATATTACTAGATCTTCCTCCTCTCCGAGAGCCATGATTTCTCTGTTTCAGCCACATTATAGATAAGCAGCTCCTAGCTAATGTAAGCAGTTATATTTTCTTTATCCTTTTTTTAATCCTTTATCAGCAAACGCCGTTGATTTGGCCAAGCCACCTCTGGAACGTTTCCTTTCGCTAGCGAACGCAAGTCCCCCGCGTTGAGCAAGTTCACTCAAGGTAAAAATCACATCAAGTTTGCTTTGCTTTGCACATTCTTCTTTTTTTCCTTAATTGTTTATTTTCTTGGACCATTTAAAAGCATTTTATTTTGGCTCTGCAGTTATTTTTCTCCAAAAAGCAATACTTGTCTCCTTCTCCTGTTGGCATCACTCCTCCTTCTCTCTCTTTTTATTTTAACAAGAGCCTTTTGACCAAGAAGTTTCAAACTAGCTTGTCACCTCCCGCATCTGGAAGCGCAGGGCAGGTTCCTGTGGGCACGGTCTGGCTCCGTGGCTGGAAGCCCCCGTGATGCTCCTCACCTTGCCCGTCCCAGCGCGTCCCACTTGGCTTTTTGTTCCTGGCTCCATCTTCCTTTGAGCAATCCCCCGCCATCGGTTTAACGGGCCCCACCACTTCACCCCCGTCGCCGGCTCCAAACCAAGAGAAGAGCTGCTGGAGAGAGTCCAGCGGAGGGCTGCAAGGATGATGAGGGGACTGGAGCATCTCCCCTACGAGGAGAGGCTGAGGGAGCTGGGCTTCTTCAGCCTGGAGAAGAGAAGGCTGAGAGGGGACCTTATCAATGCTTATAAATATCTGCAGGGTGGGTGTCAGCCAGGGAGGCTGTGGAGTCTCCTTCTCTGGAGATATTCCAGACCCACCTGGACAAGGTCCTCTACAGCCTACTCTAGGTGACCCTGCTTCGGCAGGGGGTTGGGCTGGGTGACCCACAGAGGTCCCTTCCAACCCCGACCATTCTGTAATTCTGTGAAGAGCCCCGGCACGCCGTGCAGACCGGAGCGCATCCCCACTTGCACCCGAGCAGGGGCTCAGTGCGTGCTCCCAGTCTCCACGGTGCTGGGGGGCACTGGGAATCGAAGCTCTGGTCCGGTGCCAGTTTAAGGCTGGCAGATGGAGGGAAAAGAGCCGTACTTCGAAAGGTTTCTCTAAAATGGGGCTTTCTTGGGACTTCTGAGCAAGCAACATCACATGTGTGGAGAAGTCACAGAATCACAGAATCATGAAGATTGGAAAAGATCTCGAAGATCATCAAGTCCAGCTGTCACCCCATCACCCCTGTGCCTGGTAAACCATGTCCCAAAGTGCCACATCTACATGGTTTTTGAACACCTCCAGGGATGGGGACTCCACCACTGCCCTGGGCAGCCTGGTCCAGTGCCTGACCACTCTTTCAGTGAAGAAATTTTTCCTAATATCCAATCTAAACCTGCCCTGATGCACTTGAGGCCATTGACTCCTGAGGTCATGGCTCTCTTTCTCCACCCTGACACCCAGTTCTTATTTTTTTAAATGTATATTAAAAAAGAAAAACTTTATCTTTGCCATCTTATTGTTGAGATTAACAACAAAAATCTCTGCAGGCTGCTGCGTACCTGCCGCACAGCAGTGGGTTTGCAGGGGGGAGCCGGCTTCCCCTCCAGCCTGGAGAACAACAGGAGCTTGTGCTGTACGAAGGGCTGGCAGCTACAAATCACCTCCCGTTCGCACCTTCCCCATGA